CGTTACGCAAACATACAGGTCCGTTCATACCACAGTGAATTTACCTTATACAAATACCCGTAAAAAAAGGAAGTCTTCCACAATTGTGAGAAGCTACTCGACGTCGGAAGAGGCACATGAGACAGGAGAGGGGCTGCGGGTGGATCAGAAATTTGCGACTGTTGGAATACTGCACGGATGATAATCGCCCAACAAAGACTTCCCTCTTGCTCTGCATTCTCCCCAGTATCAGTTTAATGCACCAGGACAATTTATGGGGCTGCAGTCAGCGGTCACGTTGTCGCAGTAAGATGTGTATAATATGCCTTTCACTGGAACAAAAAGCGAGGAAAACAAATGAAACAGACTTTGATGGCAGATGGCGCTGATCCGTGGAACAGATAAACGCGAAAGGAGGTCGAATGGGCAGCTGTCAGGACCATTCTGTGCCCAAGCATTGCGAATTTTACGCCTGTTCGCATTTTGAAGTAACTGCCATTTTCCGTTCAAAATCGGCTCACACAATCAGCATCCAGTGAGCCAAACGATTAGATGTCACAAAAACTGCTCAGACGCAAGAAGCTACCGACGTATTCTGTTACTGCTGCGGAGACCACATCAGGTCGGAACGTGTATCGGTATATTTATCACCGAAATGTCTGTTCTTTACCATTAGGTAGAGTGGTATTCCTGAACAGTTGTTTTTATGCCTATTTTGCATCTATAAAGCGCAAAAACTGCGCATTGTTCAGGGGTTGTCTGTGTGTGCATTTGTCCGCATTTGCCGTTCTCCAAACCTATGATGCCTATGAAGCTAGGCTACCCTTGTGAATGGGTCCGTAGGCTTAAAGTGAATACTCACGTGCTCCTCGCTCTCACGTACGACATATGAAAGTTATTAAATGGGAAAACGGTTTTAGGAACCAAATGGGCTAGAAGGCTGAAATATTACGGGGATATTCCTTGCCTATTTGCGATCCAAAGAATTAAATCCAGCTTTCACACACCTGTAGTTTCACCTACTCGCACATCAAATTTTAAGCCAGTATCTTGTCAATACGAGGACTAGACTGAATAGAAAGCTGTAGAGAGCTGTAATTTGATGATGCCATTTACTGGCGGAAATTCCATAGCATCGCCGATGTCCTCAAAATGTCAAATCGGGCTGACCGTGCCCTCTCTCCAACATCACTGCGTTGAAGGCAATAACTTATGGATGCGAAATGTTGTCACTCAAGAACGCCGATGACGAGCGCCGACGGTAACGGCAAGAGCGATGTAGCGGCTGATGCATCTCACAGCAGCCATATAAACAATCAGACTTTTCGTCATTAGAGCGGCATGCAGGATATCACCGCGATCACGCGATGAGCAGGACATGTTGCTCACCCTTGTCGACAACCGATAGACAATGCGCATTAGTGAGTGGTGGTACACATGTATCGAACAAGCCGTGGTACAAACTGAAGGCATGCAGCCCTAGATCGAAGCGCCTGTCATAGCTACACTTCGTCATTTGGCAGCATCCCAGTAATTTCACTTACAAAAGTATTCAAACTGGCAAGCTCAAGCGGCCTTGATTATTGTTGTACAGCTGTGTTCTCGTGAAAATTAATTGAGTCCTCCCCCTTATCCTCCTCCCTCTACATCTCACACACGAGCACGTAAAATCTGACGTGCATAATTTTTTTTTTCTCAGATTTTAGGCACGGATACGTGCGAGCTAACGCTGAAAATTTCGATGCTTCGCAACTGAAGCAGCTTGAGCGTTTGCGTGTATAGTCTACAACCATGTTTTGGATAAGTGTATGTGAAAGCTTTTACGTGTCCTCATTTCACGTATGGTGTAGCTTCGCGCTAACAATTTTGTGTGACAGCTTATAACCGTGAAAACTATAATAATGCTAGTAATGAATTTGAATTTGACGCGCATTTTTAGGCATCTAGAAAAGCTAGGCTCGGCTTGGATCGGCTCGGTTCGTCTCATACACAAGCGCAAAAAATTTTTTTTCCCGACCGCAGGTAGGGCTGCCGCATGGCGAATGGCGGCAGTTTGAATGTGGCATGTGGAAGTGGGGTGGTATGTGGGGAGTTTCGTTCAAGGCAGGGGAGGGGACTAGGATATGTGGATATAAGGACTAAATGGCATAGATCTTTTGCCGATTGACTAAGCAACGCACATTTGGAGAGGAGAGGGGAGCGGTGAAGAACGGAAAGGATGAGGAAG